GCGGCTCCCCCCCCCCTGGATACGTCCCTGGACACCACCAAGGTCAAAGCACAGACGTTTTGATGCCCCAAAATGAGATGCATCTTATCGTCATTTTCTGTCTTCAAATGTCACAAAAAATGGCACGTACGTATTCAAGATACATTTATTTTTTTACACTTACGTAAAATGTGAAAAAATAAATGAAGATCCTACTAGAAATCCAAATTTACCTTATACGTTTAGCGGATAGCAGCCGGCGTATGACGTCAAGATGATGACGTATCCGTCACACTAACCGTACGCGTTCGCGTGCGAACAAGTTGACGCGTGTAAACCTGCTTGCGGTTCGCGTCAGCAACGCGTCTAAATCATGAAATTGTGAAACATATTTTTTTTAACTTTATACAGAAGTCAGCCGTCAAAATATGCCACTAAATAAAGTGGGGGTATCACCGAAGCTAGGATTAGGTAAGTGTGTGTTCTGTAAAATTAATAAAATAAATGCAGAAAAAAATATAATTTGTTGTACATAGCTTTGGCGTTGATATAATAATTATTACAGTAAAACCTCTATTAAGTTGACACATTCGAAACTAAAATAATGTCCCCTCAATAGGGTATCCCCTGAATAAGAGTACCCCTATTCAGAGGCCACAAACCAAAATCTTGAAATTGTCCCCTTACAACGATGGCATGCATTCTTTTAAATTGTATTTTTATTTAAAAATAAGACATAAGAATCCGTTAGAGTAGAATTATAACTAATTGATACAAATAATTTACAATGCAAATGCAATTAATTTATAATATAAAATCAGCAGAAATTTAATTAAAACAACAATGGTTTCCAATATTGTTTCATGATGTAATGTTTATGACCAAATATTCCTTTTTAAATAATATTGAGTTTTTTATTGGACGACTGTAGCATAGAGTAATGATTTAGAATTAAGGGTGCATGTACAGTAATTATGATACGGATTAGAATCATATTGGTTTATACAAAGTACGGTAACACATGCATAGGCCTATACTCTAAGGATTCAGGACAGAACATTCTGGTTTAATTCTTAGAAGGTGTCAAAATATAATGGTGAATGCATTTTTCTTATTTTGAGACTGCTGAAGTTGTTGTGAATCAATGAAAAAAAAAAGAACAATAAAGTGTCCCCTAAATAGGGGTTATTTGACCATATTGCACACTCAGAAATTGTTCCCGTCCTCTTAATAGGGGTTGGCCGTAGTGTTAAATGATATTTTCCCCCGTTTCATGGAAAAGTGTCCTCTTATATGGTAGTGTCCTCTAAATGGGGGTGTCCTAATGGATGGGTTCTACTGTATTATCATGCCTATGATGACCAAATTGACTAAGTGACCTGATAATTATGGTGGGATAATCGCCATATAATTAATAAACAAAAAGTGTTTTATCAGCTTTAACAACCACAGAAGGAACCACAGTTGGTGACGTAGGACAGAAAAAGACGGCGAAGATTGGTGCTAGCGATGTAAAAGAAACAAAAGAAGGTGAAAATGCATTTAATCAAAGAAAAGGACGAAGCATGAGCCTACGGAAATCATCCATCTCAAGTCAATTGAGTATAATAAGGTAGATAGATTTTCATTGTTTTATAAAGTCTAACACAGGGTTCCAACTTTACCGGAGATCTGTATGACTTTTCTGTATTCTAGTTAACACATCTTTTTGGTGTGCTATTTTCAGTGCGTACAATATTAGCATAAACTAAATTGAGGGAGTAATAATACTTTACCGTAATTAAACATGGAAATGTTCTGAAATTGGCGGGAATTGGTTATGTTTCCTTGAGAATTCTATTTGCTCACGGAAGTGTGAGAAACCATTTTTGGGGGTTCTCCTATCACCTCGGTCAATGTTGCTTTTAATAATTTTGTTCAATTGACTCACGGTTAATGTACCGCTCGTATTGACGTTAGCTGGATCTATATGGTGTCATCACTGGAAATTGTGTAGGCCTAACTACTATTAGCCTACTTTGATACTGTGCTGTACTATTCTATTTTCTATCATTTCAATTCTAAAACGTTAATTGACTAAAGCGAGTCATAGCTTTAACAACTTTATTTCTAATAAGAAAGTATATGCCTACATAATTAAGCACTGAATTCCTAATGACATAATTATATATTAATGTCGAAATATCAAATACGATGGCGTGCATTTCAATACTTGGAGTATGCATTACACTTTCTTATCTGAGATTAATCAGTTGACCTGGGTTTTTTTTATCTCGAATCGTGGAAAACATGACATAAAAATAAATATTATCTATATGCTTTATTTTAGCGCTTGTTTAGGATAAATGCCTATTTGAGAGATGTGCAAATTATTAGAGTGTTACGCTCTCTCCACACTATTTTCTTTAACAAATAAATGTTGTATGCCCATATGTCATGATGTGATAATTTGAAGCGCATAGAGGCTGAAGTGCTATGTAAGTTTATTATTATTATTATTATTATTATTATTATTATTTTTATTATTATTATTATTATTATTATTATTATTATTATTATTAATATTATTAATATTATTATTATTATTATTATTATTATTATTATTATTATTATTTGATAGCCTGAATAGGGCATAATAATGGTACCACGTGTTGTGCAGAAGAGCATATCTAACTAATTGCAGCGTTGGTATTATTTATTTCGTGAAATCGCATGTTTAATAAAGTCCTGATGATACGAAACATCAAGGGATGTACGTTCTCTCGGTGTTAAAAATATCTTCTCGTACAGCAGAGCAGCGAGGCGATGTGAGTGATAGATCTAAACCATAGACCGTACTATTGATGATGTAGTCTCTCTAAAAGTGTATGATGCAATAACAACACGGCACTGTCACATACTGGAAAATAAAAATTTCATCATTGAATTATTTTGTAATCACAACAGCGAATTTTGTATTCGCATTGACATCATGCACTCGAGCTCCAGGCAATTACTGTTGTGCATATAGATAAATATAGATATTTGTCATTTCAATTGTTATAATGAAGTTGATAACGCCTATTAAACAAACAATTTATAATTGGTAATCGTGTATGTGTTTTATGTAGTTATCCTATCCCTCTATAGCTCAGTTGGTAGAGCGGAGGACTGTAGAGAATTGAATATCCGATTTATCAACAAGTGCCTCCCACACCTGGAATCGAGCCCGGAGTTCCGGCGGTGAGCGCACAATTAGACCATTACGGGATTCTTTGAATAGTACAGTACAATATATTAAAACAATCTCTGTCGCTCTTTCTTTAGCATCTCAAAAAACCACGGCCAGTTCACACGCCCAACTCTGCCTCACCCGGCTTTCAGACCGTGCCTACCATTCAGAATCCCAACTCATTCCAATCCAAAAAGAATTCTTGATAGCACTACTACCTAAAAATAGATACTGTAGGGCCATTGTCATGTGGTTATCGCTGTATTGGACTTTCGAAACAAACGTTATCTCAATTGCAATAGTTGAAATGCGCCTGTTAATCCCTCGATAGCTCAGTTGGTAGAGCGGAGGACTGTAGAGTTCTTTCATTGAAATCCTTAGGTCGCTGGTTCAAATCCGGCTCGAGGGATATTTTTTTCCAACAAAGTATAATATTGTTTTTTCAGATACTAGGAAGAATTATTATTATTATTATTATTATTATTATTATTATTATTATCCAGCGACCTAAGGATTTCAATGAAAGAACTCTACAGTCCTCCGCTCTACCAACTGAGCTATCGAGGGATTAACAGGCGCATTTCAACTATTGCAATTGAGATAACGTTTGTTTCGAAAGTCCAATACAGCGATATTATAATAATAATAATAATAATAATAATAATAATAAAAATAATAATAATAATGATAATGATAATGATAATGATAATGATAATGATAATGATAATGATAATAATAATAATAATAATAATAATAATAATAATAATAATAATAATAATAATAATAATAATAATAATAATAATAATAATAATATTACGATTCCAGAACCAAAGGGTATCTCATTTATTATCACAATATACTCCATCCATATCCCTCGATAGCTCAGTCGGTAGAGCGGAGGATCGTAGAGATCATCCATTGAAATCCTTAGGTTGCTGGTTCAAATCCGGCTCGAAGGATTTGTTTTTCTTCATTTTAATTTATTTGAAGCATGAAGCATTTTCATGTGAGTTGAAATGTTGACGACTTCAAAGTATTTATTTTATTTAAATAACTTGACACTTAAAATATCAAGAAGTATTGTGTCTACATATGTGCATAAAGGGACACTCTCATTCTCATAATTTTGCATTGTCATTTAGAAACCAATTGTATTTTATTTTTTAAGCATTATTTTTTGGGCATTTAATAAATTAGATGTAAAACAACATGTATGCTTTCAATACCGAGAATCGAACATGGTTGTCTATCGAATAGTACCATTCTTAAAACATTATTTCACCAATCCGATATGCCCCACCCAGCCCCGCCCTCCCAGTTCATTCAACTCTTACCCCTCAGACTCCAGTAGATTTCCAGACAGTGGCACAACACTATGGCCAGCGGCCATTGGAGACTGGGACCCTTGTTCGATCCAGGTCGCCAATTTCATTGTGGGGCTTAGATAGGGGCATATGTTTTTAAATCATGTTTGTAATTTTATATACAGTATTATGTTTTTAACGACAAAAAAAAATGATATGATATCAGTGGTGAATCTAATGGGAATTTGAAATAGATGGGCCAAGAGAGTGGCTTCATAGAGGGAGGTTCTGAACCACCTCAGGCCCACCATGGTTGGGGCTGAGGGAAGACAATTTATGATATAGCACCAGATGGACGGAAATGGCACTCGCAGATTTACAATTTTGAAGGCCTATCATTCTCTTTTTTACCGCCATTGTTTTCATAATTTTTACAAATCTAAGGGCCCTTAATCCGTCACTGGGTATAATGTGATATATGTCCTACAGTCGATCTCAGAGACATATTATTCTGTTATGTAGTAACAAAGCTCTTTTGGGTCAGGGTGTAGATCGAGGACCCTATTGGTAGCGGTTCGGGGCCCCTAAGAGTCGGGGACTCTTCCGTTATGCCACTGCTTCCGGACTATAGGCTTACCATTCATATTCCCAACTCATTGCTCAAATAATGTTTAATAGTATTACTGCGCGAGGCAAGCATAATAATTGGTTTTTAAACATTATTATTTTTCATCATGTTGGTAAGCACATTTTGTGCTATATAGTCCTAAGCATACTAAAATATAAACATCTTCAGTGGTTTAGCTTAAACATTCAGATGTTTACGATGAAAAATGTGGATGAGTGATATAGAACTCGCATTAATATAAATTTAGTAAAATAATCGCCTATAGCTGGTAAGTAAATCCCGGAAGCATTTAGATACTATATGCCTAAGCTCAGACGGTACAGCAGAGGACTGTAGCGTTTGTCTATCGATATCCTCAATTTTATTGGTGTTATAGCTTTGAGTAATTTTTATCTATTGCCTGGTAATCAGATTAATTATAATTTTAACGTCTGTAAAAATAGATATGGATTACAATGTACTGTAATCCAATGCAGTATAGGAAAGATGAAGTTGTAGTCCATGGAATTTTTAGACAGGGATAGTTTCATAACTCCTATTGTTCA